ACAAGCGTTCCGTGTGTAGTCGATTCCTGCTACAAAGCTCTCCTCGACGATCGCGGGACTTTGTTCGTTCGTGCACTGAAAGTGAAATACTGGGACGCGCGTAATGTTGCGATGAAAGGATTCACGCGGAATGTACAGAGGGAGAGAGCGGAGGATGAATCAGGAGAGGCGCGAGGAGATGAAAACAGCGGCGGGAGGGAAGCGAGAGGGTTCGATAGAGTGGAAACCGAGCGAGGCCGCGGAAAAGCGGCCTTTCCTGTTCCCCATCTCTCCCTCTTTGCTTCAGCTGCTCGAGTGGACGGACCCTTTCCGTGTATTTATTTCCAAGCTTCGTATCTGAGAGTGGTGAGCGAGGCTCGCGGAACGGTTAATAATTCGGATAACCGCGTCGAGATCGAGAAAGACGCAAATTTTTCTTCGTGTATGGACGCGAAAAAAAAAAAAAAAAAAAAAAAAACAGAGGGAAAAATATATATCGCAGGTGAAACACGGTGAAAAAGTGCAGGTAACGAAATTACTAGTTTTCCACACCGGTGAGTATCAGACATTCGTGTTCGCTAAATCCATTGGTATGGCTTTCAGATTGTAATGTCGCTGAATAACGTGTAACAGCGGTATCTACGATAATTGTCGCTAAAGCAAACTAAAGCTGAAATGTTCCAAGTGTCCCATTGATTTCATTGCGAGCGTTGCCATTTAATTCGGTCGCGATAACGGCCGGGAACAATTCGATCGTTAGACGATCCTAGCAATGGCTGCGTTATCCCCAATTCTCTCTCCATTTCAAAAACGGCGCATCGCGCTCTTCTTCCGAAAAATCCTAACAAAAAGCCCCGCATATTACTTTTTTCCCGTGACATTCCCCGAAGAACAGAGAGATTTCTCGGGGGCTGAAATATCCATTTCAACGGCGAACTCACTCGTTCGCTCGCTCGCTCGCTAGCGAGCCGATTTTCCAAACGAGAAAATTTTCGAAAATCTCTCACTCGAAAGCGATTTCTTTCTGAAAGAAAGAGCAGTCTTAAACGATGATTCTAGTCATCTCTGAACTGCACTCTCGTACACGAGAGAGAGAGAGAGAGAGAGAGAGAGAGTTGTACTTTTAAACGCCAAACGAGTCGCTGTAAAGAAAACAGGATTGCAACGTTCATCGAGATACTCGTGTCTGTGTGCCGAGTAACACAAAGGTAACCAACCGCAAATCGCTTTAAAGCCCTCGTTACATCGGAAAGCATTTTCCCTGGAAACGGGAGAGGGGAGAGGGAACGGGGTGGATGGAAAATCGGTCAGGCAAACACAACGGAACGTGAAACGTTTAGGACGTGCACAGAAACATGCACACGCGCGTAACGCATTAATTGTTTAACGCGTATTTGTTTTGTAATAGAACTCGGCGCGGTTTGCATAACAATTGTACGAATATGAACTAAATCCGATAGTGTTTGACTATCGTTTGGCTGACTCGTAACCGCGTTTACTATCGGTAATCATTGCTTAACGAAACGGTTACATACTCGGTACACGTGCACAAAGTTAGATCAAATTTACCTATCGGCGCAAATAGAATTGGCCAGTGCCGAAGGAGAACGTTCTAGCTTCGCTTTCTAGCTTGCCTCTAGCGCGCAACACGCCAACGAGGGCTAAAAAATATTATCGCAAGCAGAAAGTTCGCGACGAAGCAAGTGTTTGAGGGAAGGACGGAGAAAAAGGTGTCTCTGAATTTTCATTCGTATCCCAAGATTAACGCGAGCGAACAGTCGCGACGCGACAAGAACTAGCGGAGAACATTTATTGCTTTTGCTTACTCAGTTCCGCGACATTTGCATTTGTTTTGACTTCAAGTTACCGCCGCTGGCTCCTCCTACCGCGCAGCTCCCAGCCCTGAAAGATGAGAATGGCAAAAGCATTAGTGTAATTGTCCTCGAAACGATGAAAATAAAGAAGAGAACGTGCGCGGGAGGTAGGGGAAGTGGAAAAACAGAGTTCCTGCGAACCACCGTCCGCCATCCATGCCGCCGGACTTTCGCTTTTTCCTCGCAATTTTTCTTCCTACATTTCCATCGTTTCGCGATACTACCACCAGCTGCTTAGTTTATTTCACTCGATCTTTCTCAACCCCCCCTCCCTCTCGCAAAGTCTCTCCCCGTTCTCCTTCATCGAGAAGACTGAATCGGATTTTACCTTTCGCGAACGGTTTCATCAGCGAGTCAATTTTTTGCGTTCGCAGCTTTGCAAAGCTGGCTGAATAAATATTTGACGAGCTTTTTGTCCAGAGTCGAATGGACCAAGGTTTTTACCCCCTCCCCTATCCGCGCGCAAACTCGAGGGACCGTAAATTAAAAATAAAATAAAATTCGGTCGTTCGATGTAAACTCCGGTCGGCGTAAAAATTTTTACGCGATATTCGACGTGGCGCGGTGCGCCACCTCGTACCGATGCGATTTTTCCCGAGGATCATTTCTCTCCTTTGCGTTAATACGGTCGCGTTAGCCGTACAGTTAATTGCACCCCGGGGAGAACCAAGGCAAACGGCGGATGTGAAATCGCTGCTTGCCTCCTGTTTCAGGATCATCCGTCCCCTGGCCCGGGGAAAACCTCAGAACACGGCCAGAAGTAATTCGAAAAAATTACGTCTGCAAACATTACCCAATTTATATTACCGTCGCCCTGTTTTACCGCTTCCCGTGCGGAATTAAAAATAAAAACCGAGCAGAAATTTTATCGTCCAGCCCTCGTAACTCCTCCGTTTCGTGTTTCCCGCAACTTCCAGTTCTCCTCTCGCTTCTGCGATACTCGCGGCGCGGAAAAAGTTTCAACCGACAAAGGGTTAGAATTTAAGGCAATCAACCACGAAATTCGGATGGCACGAGCTGCGAACGAGCAAAGGGTTTGGAAAGCGACGCCCGACACTTAAACAAATATCCCCAGGGTCTTGAGTGATTCCGAGACCGTAGTAACCATGAACGGGTCGCGCAATGTCGCGCGCGGACTCCCGTACCATGCTCCAACTTTTTCCACCACACTCCATATATGTATACCCTATCTCGTCTCTACCTTCCATCCCCTCGCTATCTATCGTTTCTCGCAAAATCTGGACCGCGCTCATTTCTGACACCGCGTCACTATTACGTCTCGTACACGATAACAAGGGGAGAGGAACATCTCTTTCCCAACTTTCCCAATTGAACGAATTTCTAGGACCTGAAGGAATACGTTCCTAGAAAGGCGAATAATTAACGCGAGAGCACACAACTCCTGTGTGCCACGTTTGTTCTCCTCTCTTCGGAATTTTTCTACGTTTTCCCTCTGTTCCCTGCCTGAAACGTCAACGAGATAAAGCAACGCGACGATAGTTAGCGGTGCGCAGCTACACGGAACGTCGTCGCAGCAGCCAGCTGAGATATTATTACTGCGATTAGAGGGATGAAAGAGAAGTAAGATAAGAACGGTTTTTCCGCTCGTACTCCAGGCTCGAATTTCGCAGGAACGGTATCGCAAATGTATACCGAGGGTATGGAACGCGTTGCGATTCAAGCTCGTTTTTCGATCGTCTATTAGCACAGGCTTTCGTTACTCGTTATTTCAATTATACAGACGTTGAGAAACGTTTCTCGCCAATCGAGAATATTTCATTTTCAAACTTCAACGTCTCGTCCTTTTCTCGCGCGCGTCTCATTTGCCGGAACATTTTCGTCAAACATACACCAGACTAGAGGCATTGTCTCCGCGTGACGGAATTACGCGGAGCAAAGCCGGAACCGTGCTTTCTTTGCCCCTGAACACCGTCGTCGTTTCGCTCCGAGCTACATATTTCCGGTGGCCCATAATTTCTGCTCGTTCGTTAACGTTTCTCCGCGACGAACAGCCTTCTTGGCAACCGAGAGAGCCGTACGTTGAAACCTCGACTCGTTGGTCAAAACTCGAAACCATTGAACGCATTGTTTATCGATCGTGTCGCTTCCGAGACGAATAAATTGGCGAAGTATCGACGGGCCGTCTGATAGTCCGATCGCGAAGGAAGAGAGGAAGAACGTTGGTATTCTCGGTTTGCCGATCGAGGCCGGAAGAAATAAAGTTTCGCAAGATAAAAGTTTCCTTTCGGAGAAAGAGAGGAGAGGAGAGGAGAGGAGAGTAGGCGGAAGTGGGCAGAGGGTGAAACCGGAATGAAAAATACACGGCGGCACAGTTGGCGGATACGCGTGCACACACGTATAGCCGGTGCTCCGACTAAACAACCTGGGGGTATAGATTTATAGATGGACGATACCCGTTGGGAAATCAGCATCGTCTGCGCTTTCAGTGATGCCGGGCGATGCCGGGCGAAGCCGTTGCTGAAAATGAAAAAGCACCAACTTTTCAAGTTTTCATTGCCAGCCCGAAGGGTTCCTCCGCTACTCGTTACTTTATGGTGTCAGGGATTTTTCCGGGTCGACGAACCGTTTAAACAATACCTAGCCCGCAACGCGGCCCCGATAACGTTCCGACCTTTCACCTATCATCGACAAAGAAAGTCACTCTGATTCCTCCGGAGATTCATTTAACTTTTTTCATTCGGATCCTTTAGAACGTCGTCTCGTCGACGCCGCGTCGAGGGGAGATCGAACCTGGGACTGAGAGCTTCCGCGATACCAACTTTTTCAGAGATCGATCCGCCAAGAAAGTAGCCGCGGATTAACCAAACTTGTTCATTTCCACCGATTCTCTATTCCAATTACCGTCGTTAAACGACGGAAAAAGGAAGGAAAAACGAAGGAAAAATTGCGTATAAAATATATTTTTTCCGAGAGCTACTTCGCAACCAAAGTTTCCGAGCAGAATCGACGAGTACGAGACACTCGTACGTTAAAAGTCGCGAGATAAAACGTTCGAAATCAAATTTCTCCCGCAACGACCGCCCCCCTGCTGAAATTTACTTCTCGAGTAGTTAGGCGGGAATCGACAAAGTTCAATTCACGATGCTATTTTTTAATGGTTCGTTATCCGTCAATTCTCTGTTTCAGTGCTCCGGAGCAGCTTCCGGTGAATTTTCGGAGCGTGTGGCGGCCCTTTTACACTCCTCCACTCAAGACGACTGCTAGTCCTCGTAGACATTCCTCTGAAGCTGTTCTACTTTCCTCCACCAGCGAAGAAACCGATGGAATATCCGAGGAAAACCTCACTCTACCGCGTCGCGACGGTTATATCGGCCGTACGATTAAACGAATATCGCCAATGTCGGAGTTTACACGCGTGAACCCGTTTGTCGCAGGTATCTGTAAGCATTCGTGAATTTTTCTACTTCGAAAATGACTACTTCGTTCTTTCGCTTCGCTTTTACTTCAACCAAAATCCGTTCACGTTCGAAGCTCTTTTTCCGCAAGAAGAACTTCAAGCGTGTCGCGCATATTCCGAGAAACTCGTGTACAGGCTAATAGAGACACGGTACTCTTTCAGTTCCTTTCTTCCCTCCTTAATTATCCTCGGCGTGAAAAATCAATGCCGGAAGGGATGGATGAAACAAAAGCGGTCGGGAACTTGGCGAAAGCTACCAGACTACTGCAGAGACTCCGTCGAAAGTGTTTCTTACTTTTTCCCGCCGTGCAATTATATTTCGAGAGCACGAACTTCAAGATGACGCGTAATTTTTCTTTCTTTTCCGTTTTTCTTTTTCTTTTTTTTCCTTCCTACAAAAACGCCCACCGTTTCGCTAGGTTTGAAATTTCGTTACTCGATCGCGAGCAAAAAAGCCAAGCTTTCAGGAAGAAGAATGGAACATCCTCGGAATTACACTGCTACTACAATCCTCTGGCATCGGTCAGCGAAAGCGTGCGCATTTTCCTTTTCTCCTTTTTACGAGAAGCACGAAAAAAATGTACCGCTCTACGGGAGCGCGATTCGATGTCCGGAAAGGAGGAAAATAGAGAAAGGAGAAGAGAGCGGAGTCGGTGGAAAAAGCAAACAGCAAGTTGACGAGGAGCGGATGGAAGGAGGAAAGAGAGGGATAAAACGGTGGTGATTTTGGTGGCCAGGGGGTAGCCGTGAAGTTTCCAGGGACTCGGAGCAAATGAGTGATACGTAG